TTTATTTCTATAAACTGGCCTTTTGGTACACTGCAAACCTGCGAAGGTCCTTCTTTGGGCCATCTGTGTTAAAAGCCCAAATTTAAACTGGGATACGGCCTTGTGATAGCAAGAACAGCTTCTACACCGAAGACCCAAGGGACAAGCAGAAATGACACAAGGTAGCAGGCTGCTATTTAGGAATTAGCCAATACATCCTGAATTTCAGTTTTTTAGTTTAATATTTGGGGACAAAAATATCCTAAATTATCCTGAAGTTAGGATTTTTAGTTTAAAATTTTAGGAGAAAATAAGTACTTGCTAATGTCTAAATAGCATCCCTGAGAATGGTTATATGTGCACTTGCCCTAAGAGACAAAGATCTAAGCCCAATACGTATACTTCTCTTTTGGATCAATATTACTAAGGTGTTAGACCGCCTAGAGATTATAAGGCCCAAGATACGTCCAGAACCAAAAACAAAAAGGAAAAAAGAAAATGATATTGTATAGTTGCTCTCAAAATAATAGCCGATATATATATATTATATACAAAAAATTATATATACAATTTTGTGGCTATATAATGTAAATAGTTTCGCTAGCCGGCTAAAAAGTGATCTTCGCCACCAAAAAAACTTAAATGTACAGTAATCCTTTCTATCCGGAACATTTGACAATGATTTAATAAAATTTAATGAAAAATGGAAGATGGATAAGTATTCATTTAAAATTAATGTCCATATTGCTTTCCTTTTTTAAATTCTCTTGAACTGTAACATCTCACTTTGGTAATAAATTACCAAAAAGAATTAATGTCCCTCCGTTTTCACATTGAAATTTTCGTTTAGTTTTGCATGGAGATTCTGTTCATTATTTGTTCAGGAAATATGTGAGCAAGATGTTAGTTATATATTTTTGACCTTTTTTAAAATTAAAAACTTATCTTTGTATGAAGAACTTTAAAACTAAGACAAGGGGCGGTCCGACCAATTTCGTGGCCTAAAACCAAACTTTATGAGAGACCTTAACTTTTTTATATTCTCCTAATAAGTCTTTCTCAATTGACAATATATAGCTAATTCATTTAATATCTTTGAGACATTGTTGATCTTAGGTAAGGTTTTATCAATTTTAATTTTGAAACACTTTTTTCCGCTGAAGCAACGGTAATAGGAGTTATTAACATTATTCTATAAGTAATATAAGCATTTAAAAAATAATCAAACCTTTTTATTTGATTGAGTTTATCAATTAAATTATTATCTTCTAATTGTACTATTTTTCTTAATATTTTTTATTCAAAAAATAAATCTAAACTATCAATATCTGGTTGATTATTATGATTTAAGGAGCATTCAAGATGAAGGCAATATTTTTTCAAATTTCCATCAACTAGTGATCTCAGTTTTTACCGCTAAATATAAAACCAAAAGTATTTTCATATGCCTCTAATTGTTCAAATCTATTTTAAAGTGAAAAAATAACCTTGTCTACTACTCTCTCCAGTCCATAATAAGTGATTTTTTTGGCTTTTGTTTTGGTCCAAAATAAGTGTCATTTTATATAATCGAGAAGGAATTAACTTTATTTGTTTAAAATTTGCCCTATTTACATATCTCAATGTGTCAAGTTAACAACATATAAATTTTAATTAAGGATAATTCAGTCAAAATATATTTTTATTTTAGGAGTCAGTATTTTCTTAAGGGGCACATCAAAGGTTAAAAAGTCATGAGGGAGTATGTATAGAAAGTAATCAAAAGGACACTTTGAGAGATTTTGAGATTTCACTATTAACATTCTTCTCAAATTATTTCTTCCTATATATTATACGTTTTTTTATGAAATTCGGGTTCAATATTAATTTCAAATGTAATTTCCTTGGCAGAAATCAAAGCAGTTGCAAATCCTTCGTATCTTTATTTGTTAAATAAAAAAATCAAACTTTTTCACTTCACATAATTTTTAAAAAAAATTAATATATAACCTATTAGGTGTGTTTGAGGCCGTCTTTTTGCAAGAGTTACTTATATTAGTGGGATTTTATTTGTTTTTAGAGAAGTGAACATATTCTACACAGAGTAGAATGGAAAGATAGACATTGTATTCGAGAACAAGAAGGTTATCAAAATTTGAAATAATACCGAAACTGAAAGTACCCAAAATTGGAAATCTACTTTATCTCAAAACATGAAAACATTGAGAATAATTTTGTCAATGGTTCCTCAATTGATTCTTAAAGCGAAAACAGCCATTTTTTTTAGGCAATAGAATGGAGAATAGTTGAATAATAAAACAAATGTAAAACAATACTATGCAGGAGTTTCGACAATATTTGTGCGGAAGTTGGAATAATATTTTTTCAAGTTGAAGTTGAAAAAAGGAGTTTGTAGAAGTATCAAGTGTGTTTGCTCATGAACTTTACTTGGAAATTTTCTTTAGCTACAATTAAAAATTTGTGACTGGAAACCAGTGTTTTAGATGAAATACAAATTCAAAGCAATATTTCAGTAATATTAATTAAAGTTCAAGTAATATGTCACTTGAAACTCAGAACTTTATAACGAAATTAATATTTGTAAATATTGAACTTCAGAAATACTGATTCACTGCTAAACTGATCCTTTGGTATTAGATAAGAAAAGTAATGTGCAGCTAATCTTCATAATGGAATTAGATATTACTACTGCTATTCGTTCCAATTAAAAACATGTTTTTTTTCTTTTAAAAACTTAAAGTTATCTTGTTCTTAATCAATTTTAAAAAAAAACAAGGTAAAGCAAAAGTATTTCCACTGCTCCACCTTTTACAACAATGAAGCTTCTGAAAAGAAAAAGAGAAAAAGTGAAAGGTATATAAAGCAAAAAACCAACAGCAAGATTCTCTTTAATCAGCATAAACACTTTCCTAATGCTACAGTCTTCCTTAACTATACAAATCTTGGTACAGAAGATCAATCTCAGCACCTACAATTTAGTCTCACATGGCCATTTCATTAGCAAACAACGGGACATTAACTCTGTCCATCTTTATCATTTTTCTTACACTTCAATTTCTGATCATCACAGAAGCTCAATCAAGTATCTGCAGAAATTCTTGTGGTGATATCCCAATTCAGTACCCTTTTGGCATTGATGATGGCTGTGGAAGTCCATACCATAGGCATATTCTTGTTTGTACAGGTGGTCAACTTCAACTTAGAACTCCTTCTGGTAGATATCCTGTTAGAAATTTAAGCTATACTGATCCACATATTCTTGTAACTGACCCCTTAATGTGGAATTGCCTAGACGGTGACAATTTTCGACCAACCAGGCCATTTAGTCTAGATACTAGCACACATTTCACTTTATCCCTTGAAAATGACTACTTGTTCTTCAATTGTAGTGAAAGTGATGTGATAGTTGAGCCAAAACCAATGTTCTGTGAGCGTTTTCCTGATAAGTGTGATTCAACATGTGATAGTTCGAGTTATCTTTGTAGGCACATGCCTGAATGTCCTTCTGCATTGAGGAGTAGCTCTTGTTGTTCTTACTATCCCAAAGCTACTGAATCTTTGAGGCTAATGTTGAAGCATTGTGCTAGCTATACTAGTGTGTATTGGAGAAATCTTGGTGCAACGCCCGCGTTTGATCAGGTCCCTGAGTATGGGATTAGAGTTGATTTTGATATTCCAGTGACTACGCGATGCCTGCAGTGTCAAGATACTGCTAAGGGAGGGGGAACTTGTGGCTTTGATACAGAAACACAGGATTTCTTGTGCCTGTGTGACAAAGGGAACAGTACAACCTACTGTAATGGTATGTCTGAAGAATTTAAGTTATATACACTAAGTATAATTTAACATGTTAGAGTAAGTTATTCATCGAATCTTGTTATATAATGTTACTGGCAATTACCATTGTGTAAATATTTTTTATACCGTCAATGCATAGAACTTAAACTCACGTTTTGAAATGTTATTGTAGCATCTGAAAAATGCTGTCTATTTTCTATTTTTGTCATTGTTGCTTGATTTTCAAAATGCATCAGTACTAAAGGAATGTTTATTAATTATGTTAAGGTAAGTCTTGATTAAGTATATATGGCTCAAGTTGATTTATTTTTAATTGTTTGTAGATAGTAGGAGCTCTCACAGAAGAGGAGTTGTTGCAGGTACTTATTAGATTTTATTGATCTATGACCAATTAGTTTGCTAAGAGGTTTCAACTACATATATTTCTTTTTTTCCTTTCTGAGATTTCTTATACAAAATCTATTTGAAATGTTGCAGGAACAGCAACTGCAGTTTCAGTTGCAGGGGCATTTGGAATAGGAGCTGGTGTATGGTACTTGAAGAAACTGAGAGCCAAAGCACCAGTAACTCATGGTGTTCAAACCAATGAGAATAGACTTTTCTGAGAGAATCTTTTGAAGTAAAAAAGAAATTGCTGTATTTCTTCTTTTCTTTTCCACTTTTCTTTACCATTTTTCAAGTTTTTTTCCCTTCTCTCTTTTAATTTTTTTATATAGCATAATCTTGCACTTTAATTGGTTCTGTTTGTAAGTTAAAGGAACCAACTTTTTGGTCTTGCATGTTTGGCATTGCTTGTATGTGGAGTAAGGAATGTCTTAGGGAAAACTTTGCTGCTCTGCACCTTGAGGTCATGTTTGTTACACAATAGCCGGACAAATTCACTGTTTATTTTTTCTAGCCGGTGTACATTGATTATACGCAGTTATACATGAATTAAACATATATTATATATCTGCTGGCTATTTTTTAGTTTAAGAGATTAGGTGAGCGGCTATTTGGGTTAATTCTTCTTTTTTCAGCTCCCTTTCCTATGGGAACCAAATTCGGGTCTAAGTAAAGATTCCAAGAATACCCAAAACCAGTTAAGTTGGTTGATTGTATAATGTATAGTTCATCTATTTGATTACCTCTAATGTCTAGTTTTGAGCTTGAACTTTTGTTGCAATCTGTACTCTTGGTAGCAGAGCTAATGAAGATTATAGAAGCATATACAACTCAACAAGCGATACAAAAGTTACTCCTTTGATGTTATATTACACCCTTCTAAAATCCATTGTCATTCTCAAAAAAACAAACAGTGTGCTATAAACTATGAGGAATACAACTTTCTCCATATCTCAAAGAAACTTAAAACTCCAAAATCCTGAATCTTTCTTGAACTTTCTAAATATGGTATACGTTAAGTGTAAATTAAACTTTGAGGCATTAAAAAATGCTGCCAAAGATATACAGGGAATGGTGATTGGAAAAGGAAAGAAGAAATTTTGTATAATTAGCAAGGTTCATTGACAACACATTGAAGAGGACCAGCATCAGAAGTTAAAGAGGGAGTTAACGATCCTTGAGCAACAATAAACGATTGTCCTCTTGTGTATTTTGGAGCAATACTTCCATATCCAGATGGATTAAAATATGCTCCATTCAAAAACACATCCTTGGAAGACCTCCATTTCCAACTCTTCCATCCTTTTTCTTCAGTCTCCCTCTTAGTGACCTGTAATATATATCATAACTAATATAAGATCATCTATATATAGCGATGCGATGGCATAAGTCTAAGTTGTTTTTTGTCTCTAGTTTCTAAATTTGTGGTTCTCAGAAAAGTAAAACTTCAAATTGGAAAAGGAATGAAGAAGTGAATATATCTGATCTTCTTGACACTGAAGAATAGCTTGATATTTGCATACCTCTTTGTTGTAAGCTTTGTCAGGAGCAATGAAATAATTTCCCTCACTGAATATTGTTGGATCTGCACTCCCACCAATGGCATACATTAACCATTGATCATAATAATTATTGGCCACATGAGCATAACCATATCTAACCCTGTAACACAAATTATTGTCAATAATTGAATAATCTTAATTATTGTTGAATACTAGGTTCAACAGCGTCTTACATTCACAATTCCAAATTATTGTGATTAATCTTGGATAATCTCTTAATTATGTACCTTGGCATCCTTTGAACTAGTTCACGGCCAAAATGGTTGAATACTACTGTGACTTTCATGCTTCTGTCTGCAGTATATTGATCATTGTGCCCCAACAACATGACCTGGAAATTTGATTTAAGGTCAGAACTAAAAAGATCACCTCATCTTTCTGTCAAAGGTGGATCCAAGATTTTATTTCATTTAATGTGGATTATTGTACAACCGAATCAATCAACCATACCTCAATTTCAAGTCAGTTGGGGTGACAACTTATTATAAATGTACATATTTTTTTTTAAAAATCACTACATATAGTTTGACTCGAAAAATTGGAGATCACTTACTTTGTCATGCTCAGTGAAGTAATTGTTGGAGATAGTTACTGCAGTTGAAGCATGAATAACATCGAGTAGGCCATCCGTTGCACGGGCAAGATAACAATGATCAATCCAAACATTCAACGAACCAAACACACTTATGGCATCACCATCAGAGCCTAATCTTTCACCAACATGTTCAGGACTACTACGAACCATCCCTTTTTTACCAGGCTTACAATCATGGATACTAATCCCATGAATAATAACATTTGTAACATAGTCCAATGTAATGCATGGACCATTAGAAATCTCAACTTTTGCACCTCTGCCGTCTATAGTCTTGTGACTATTGACCATAAGCTCATTCTTAAGTGTAAGTACCATATCCCTTTTGAAAATGATCCAAAGTGGCTCGGACTGAATAACGCCATACCTAAGAGTGCCTGGTTCAGGATTTGCAGGATCATCAGAAGGGTCAGTGACCACGTAAATGTCACCATATTTACCTCCTATAGCATTACTTCCAAAGCCTATTGCACAATCTGCTAAAGCCTTGCGATTGGATGACCAATCGTGGTTCAATCTCCAGCACGAATCGATGACATTAAGGAGGTTTTTGTGAGGCTGAGGATAATAACTTGGAAGATAATCATCTACAGCTTTAGTTTCATGTTCATGACTTAGTTTACTAGCTACTACGGTAGAAACTGAACATATTAGAAGCCATGAAAGTAGTTGGAAGGAAGTTGATTTTGCCATGGCTTATGAGATACAACGAGAAGCACAAGAGTGAAATTTAAACAGTCTGTAGTAGAAGTGGTTAGCATGTTGGAAATATGTCAATTTCAACTAGCTGTTTGGTGAGGTTTTGGGAACTTAATTATGAACGTGAGAGCACGAGCTACAAAATATAAAAGATACGTTGAACTATTTGAGTAAGCATTGCCTAGGTGCAAATATTAGCATCATAATCATTGACTGAAGAAAGAATAAATTATCCAAGTTTGAGCTTTGCGAGTGCAAAAGTGAGACACGTATTTTCTAAAACGTTAACTGATGTAGTGGAAAATAAGGATCATTGTTTAATAAATTGGAATATCCTACAACAGTACATTATTTAATAATCATGAAACCAAGACCCTGCCACGTAACAATGTTTCCACTCTCACATAGTGGTAGCGCTTAACCTGAGTAAAACTAGCTAGGTCACGCACGTTAATCAATTTTATCTTGTCAAACTTTTAATCTCGCGCGGTAACACTTTTCGACAACAACAGATTCACTTTAGATAATCACGTCTTCGTTAAGCATCGTGCAAAATGACCACTAGCCTTTTCCAATGTATTTCAGAAACTGATTTTATGAGGTCTTGTTGTTTCTCCTTTCAGCTGGTTTTATCGCAAAAACTGATTTATTGTGTTCGCACCCTTCTAACAGCCTCATTCACTGGTGTGATTTTACTGGGTTGTTGTTGTTGTTGCACCCTTCTAACAGCGTTAGGAGCCTGATTTCAACTAAATCTGCCTCTTCTTGGTTATTTTTTTCTTTTTCCCCCTCTTTCTTTTATTTTTGTTGATAAAAATGGTGTCGAGCCAATTTATGCACACCTCGACATGTGTCTGGTTTAGGATTTAGGGGTCATAAATAGTACTATCATTTACAACGTAAATGTGACCATTTTCGGCTCCCATGGCATGCATCACTTACCGAAGCCTTTTGCATATTTTGCTAAGACGTGGTTGATAGGTTATGTGCCCTGTTATGTTTTTATGATCTAACAAACTTAATGATAAGAACTAGATGGGGAACCTGTTACACATCCTCAAAGTGCTCAAGAACAACAAGTCTCAAGTTGGGCATAAGTTCCAACATTCAGAGTCAAAAAGACGACAGAGGGAACAGATGAACATTAGTTCCCTTGCTGACTGTACCAGTCAACTACTCACAACTGTAAAGCCGCTGCAACTATTTCTCTGCACACATGCAACAGTGTGAATAGTGCAACAACTACTTTATGGGGAATGCTTTGTACCGGATATTGCTGCAACTTTATTAACATGAAGCAATGAAGAAAACACACACTTGCACATCCGAGAATTAATCAAGTTTCCTCTCAAGTGTATTGCCATCTTGCAAGTGACTTCCTGGCTTCAAGAACAAAGAACAACATAACGAAGGACCAGTTTCCAACATTGTGTTATTATATGTCCTTAGTTGTATTGCACCTTTGTTAGAGTGATTTACTTGTAATTCCTACTTAGCTTAGCTAGAAGCATTGTGTAGGAAATTATTTGTAAAACCATAAACCTTGTGTTTGTGTCTTGGCTAGAGTTAGTCAAGTTATGAGCTTTGTAATAGAGTTATTACAAAGAGGCTTGTAATAGAGTTATTACAAGCGAGTGAGGGATTAAGAGTTTAATTCCTAGATTACAATAGGTTGTAATCTAAAAGTTGCTCGGTTAGTGAAGTTGAAATCCTACGAGTGTAAGTCGTGATTTTTAATCCCGTGAGCTGAGAGTTTTCCACGTAAAAATCTGCTGTGTCATTTACTTATCTCTTATTATGTGTATTCTGTGGGAACTGATAGAGAACCTGGTTCTCTATACAGTTTGGTGGACCCTAAGTTTCTATCAATTGGTATCAGAGCAGGTTCTTTCTATCGGGCTAACACCTAGAAAGGATCCAAATGGCTGCTCCACCAAACTTTGAAGAAGGTCAATCAACCTACAGACCACCAAGATTCAATGAAGTACTATGGATGGTGGAAGACAAGGATGCATGACTTTATAATGGTTAAAGATTCAGAGCTCTGGGATATTATCTGTGATGGACCCTTCGTCCCTATGAAGACCACTAGCGAACCAGTAGTGACAGTTCCCAAGACAAGAAAGGAATACAACGATGCTGACCGCAAAGCTATAGAGAAGAACTTTTGAGCAAAGGATAAAAATGCATTAACTGTGGAACTAGGAGAGGTAGAAAATGAGAGATATGATCTGGTAATCGCAGTGGTTGACCTAAAAGAAACCATCGAGGTTCTAAAAAAAGAAAAGGATGTTCTGATTAAAAAAAATTAAAAATATAGAAAATGAGAGAGATGACTTATTGGTATTTGTCATGGACCTAAAAGAAACAATCGAGGAATTAAAAAAAGGGAAATAGTTCTGGGATTATCCAAAAGGGAAAGGAAGTTGCAAGTGAGGCACACATTACACTTGAAAATGAACTCAAATTTGTGAAATCTAGTATATGTGCTGGACTTGAAATAAATAGACAACTTCAATAAGATCTAGGCAGAGTTAAAAATGACCTAGAAAAATCTCTAAAGTGGACCTGGTCCTCTGATACAATTACTTCTATGTATGCAAGCAATGGTTGGAACAGGCAGAGAGTCGGGTTCCAAAAGGAAAAGACTCCCTACAATCTACATAGCAAGTATGTTATTATCCCTGATAACCGGTTTTGCACTCACTGTGGCAACACTGGACACTTTAAAGAAAACTGTAAGGCTAGAATTCAGTCCTAACAGAAAAACAAGGTTTTTGTTGAAAAGGTAACTGCTGCTAAGGAACCCAGTCCCTCTGTTAAAAAATGTGTATTGCCTGTCTGGACAAGAAGAAGTTTAATTCGCCCTTTTCCTCACTACAAGGGACCCAAACTTGTTTAGGTTCCTAAGTTTAATCCTTGATTCTCTTGTGCAGGAAGCAGTGAAAGGAAGCAACCAAAAATGGTATATGGATAGTGGCTGCTCCAAGCACATGACTGGAAGCATCAATGATTTCCTTTCACTCAAAGCCCTACAAGGAGGGAGTGTATCTTTTGGCAATGGTAAAAAGGGATACATTCTGGGAGTTGGAATAATTGGGAAGACACTCACCCACTCAATTGAAAATGTATATTATGTGAACGACTTGAAGTATAGCCTACTGGGCGTTTCTCAAATCTGTGACAAGGGAAACAAAGTGGAATTTGTGTTAAAAATCTGCACAGTCATAAATCTCGTGACTGGTGAAGTGGTCCTAATGGCAAAAAGATACAAAAATATTTATGTTACTGATTTTGAGTCCTTGCACAATGGGGATATCAGATGTCTGAGTGTTGTTGATGATGATGCTTAACTATAGCACAGAAGATTGGGACATGCAAGTTTTACGTTGCTGAATAAATTAGACAAGAAGGACCTGGTTCGTGGGTTGCCTAAGTCAAGTTTCAAAGATCACAAGGTGTATGATGCATGTGTGAAAGGAAAGCAAGTCAGGTCCTCCTTCAAGCCCAAAAAAAAAGTAAGCACCTCAAGGCCACTTGATCTCCTTCATATGGATCTGTATGGACCTATGAGGGTTCCAAGTAGAGGAGGAAAGAAGTACATTTTCGTCATAGGGGATGACTACTCCAGGTTCACCTGGACTTTGTTCCTCAGAACCAAGGTTGAAACTTTTCTAGTGTTTGCTGCTTTTGTGAAGAAGATTCAAGTGAAGATGAGCTATAATGTTGTAAGTATAAGATCTGATCATGGCATGGAGTTCGACAACGCAAAATTTGACGAATTCTGTGCTGAAAATGGTATAAGTCTAACGAGCTCGAAACACACACTTAAATTATGCTCGCTAGTCAAAGATAGTATAGTATAATATCTTATCCACAGGGATTGGAGTTAAACAATATTTTCGTAGTTTCTAGATTGATTGCTATTCAAGATAATCAACAATTGAGATTTATATGATTAATAACTACAATTAACTAAGAGTCTAAAGCTATTGACTAATGACAATCGAAACAAGGAATAAGCAAAGAAAGTTATCAGTGGAAGAATATGGGGTTCTGATAGGATAGGTGCAAGATAATTGTTTGGGATCTAACTCTAGATAATTCACTTCTAATGTTCAAGTGAGTCTCTCGAATTAACTCAATTATTAGTTCAAACGTTCAGCAAAAACTCCTCTCTCGATTAAGATTTAACCTCACAAGATGAACAAATTTAAGCACGTGAAGATATGCAAGAATGCGTAGTGGATTGGTATTTAGAAGAACATCTCTCGATTATCGTCCTAACTAGGTTTAATCAATGATTCAACTAGCCTCTTTCAATTACTAAGAAGAATTAATGAACTCAACCAACAATATAATGCAAAGATATCACAAGTTATGTCTCTCTCGATTACATGAACAAGTGAATATAGATGCAACAGTTAAATCATCCAAAACGCTTCAATACATAAAACTAGAGTTATAATCCACAAACAATCATCAATACACCATATCCATAAAACCCTAAAGGGAACTACTCCATAGATATGGAGCAATTCATCACAAATAAAATTAAAGTATAGGAAAACATAAATTCAATCCAAACTCGGGTCTTGAGTGAGGAACGAATGATGAAATCCTTGTGCTCGTGTTCTTCCAACTCCTCATTAGCCTCCTTAGGTCGAATATGTGTCAAAAGTCTAGAAAATAATATTTTTTCATGTATTTATACCAAGTAGGGTCGGGCCTAGATGAAATAAACTTCTCCTAGCCGAAATAGGATTGTCACTCTGTAAATATTGCACAATGCGGGGCATTAGTGGGGAAATTGAGAGAGCTAGTTCTGACAGGCAGTAAGAATTTTGCACAGCCACGGCGCGCCACGCTCCGCCCCACGTGCCGCACTAGTGCACTTTTCTCAGAGTGCTGAATTTTCTTGCGTTTTGACGTCCAGGTTTGATCCTCGACACCCGAACACGATCCCGGCTTAATCCCTTGGGATTTTACTCAAA